CGGACATAATCCCTTAAAGATGTGCATTATGTTTATTTGAGTTCATATTCTTTCAATCTTAGTCACTTCAATCCCTCAAGTTTTTAAGTTTGTTCACTTTGATGCCATTAAAATCGCTGTTTAAATTGACTATCGGAAGTAGTCATTTTTGTCTCATGTCTCTATACTTGAGAGATATTCTTTACAGTTAATAGTATTTTTAGTTCCTATAGTATATCCATTTTGTCAGTTTAATCCTCATCGTATTAATTTTATCGATTTGGCCCTTAAAGTTTCAATTCATGTCGTTTTGGTTCTTAATGAGATAATTCATTAAATTTTTTGACGAAAATGACTACATATCATTTTCTCAGATGATATCACTACCTAATACATCATTCTCTCCATCCATTTAGGGATTTTTTAAACATGAATGAATACTTTAGGAATCAAATTTATAAAACTGATACTTTGAAACCAAACTGACAAAATGTACATATTTTAGGGACCAAAAATGTTATTAACCTTATTCTTTACAAACTTGAACAACTAAAGTGACACAAATTTGAAACTTGAGGGACCAACCCCTCAAGTGTGATCATGTTTGAAGCACGTCTTATTTTCATGTAGTCAATTTAAATCGTGGTTTATGGAGTAACCATTGATGTAAGAGTAAGAAAACTACCTTTCCAAATATGTAGTGCCTAAAGGGCTGTTTTTCATTTGTTCAAAGTCACCCAAATCTCAGGAATAGATTAAACTGATACAAAGAGCTATGACCAATTTGTTCTTTGAATCAGCAACATGCTTAATATTCATGTGTGAGTTTCTGTGTGTGTCGTTCTTCATTTCTACGAGCAATTATTTGTATCTAGTTATAATAGTTGTGCAAAAAGTTCTTTAAAATAGACCCGTACACCCTTCCGGTTCAAATATTATATAGTACCTAAACTAATGTGGGTCGACAATTCTTAACATATCCCATCAATCCAATGAGAAATAAACATGAATGCAACAAATGTGACTTTAGCATTTAACGTGTTTGATAATGCACAAACGTGTCTATTCAAAATCAATCAAAGATGTGGTAATGTATGTGATGGGGTATACTCAACACAATAAAATACACAAATTAAGTAGTTTAGTCTGAGTGACTTACTCTACAAAGAACGGCTACGGTGACTAGAGAACTTTATTACTCAAATTGTGTAGAGTGTGGAGAATTGTGTGATGCCTTTCATGTGTAGGTAAGGCTTACAATTTATAGACGAGCAAAGCTTCATAGCGCCTTAGAGGGAGCCTTAATTGAGGCGCCATTACAGAGAGCCCTGATTGAGGCATCACCCTCGTAACAGAGAACGGGGTGATTTCGTGATTCCGGCGTAACAAGCGAGATGGCCTTGTGAAGCTAGTAATGCGCACCCTGATGACTACGTTTTATGATTCCCTTCCTAAGATGAAGATCTCCATATGCGCTAGTAATAGACTAAGTCTCCCAAGATGGTAGACTTTCCTTTTGTTGGTCTATATCTGTGATTTGGGTTTAGCCTGCATATGTGATCCAGGCCTTGTCCGCATTTGTGATCTAGGTCTGATCTGCATCTGTACTCTGAATTTGATCTTGGTCAGCCCTATCAGTGTTAATCATTGATGTCATTATCAGTTTGGCATGCATCTAACGCACTTAAGAATGGTTGAACCTGACTATACATGACTTGATTCTAACCTAAAATAATTTAGACATGATACCAAACCTGACATGAATCATTATCAATCTTATTACAATAATTTAATTTGTTGATGTCAGATTAACTTTCTTATTTTTTATGTCAATATTTCAATTTTTATCCAATTCAGATATTTTTCTTCTACATGCCATTTAAGATAACATTGAAAAATCTCTCTTCTTGAGCATATCACTATATTGAACAGAAATTTGTATTATCCGTAACATTTGGATAAAATGTAAGGGATGTCGTTGTAATTTGTCGATTTTTAAATCCTCTCCGCTCAAAGGAGATCTTTGATCAAAGTCATTGCAGTGGTGTACACTCCTCCATCTTCCCTATAATTAGAGTATATTCATTAGTGCTCTCTGTTTTACAAAACAACCTTTACAAAATAGAGTATCTTTGACAAAAAAATTAAAATAAGGAGTAACATTTTTTGTACAATGACAATAGAACTCTCTGATTCTGGTAGCAAATAGCCTTTATAGATAATAGTATTTAATGGATAAAAATGTTTCATTTATTCACTCAACAATGATAAAGTAGATAGTAAATTTGGCTTTCTAAATTTAGAGAGTCAAATTAGGCTTTATATTTTAAGTTGGACATGTGGAGAGAACTTATTAGAGCTTGGGGTTGAGTTTCCGCAATAAAGAAATGAGTTGGAATAGAGAGTTGATAGAAGATACTCTTAGTGTTATTGGTGCAAAATATCATAGTTGTGAATTTTTTTTTTCTTCAATATTTCTCTCTATGTTGCAATGCTAAAAGAGAAGATTAATTGTTGTTTTCTTGCCAGTGAACACAGCTACCCATTAAACTACAAGAATGGATAATATTGGCACAAGCGAAGGAAATTCTCATTTAATTGATATGGAAGAAGCCTGCATTATTCCACTGGTAAATTCCATGCAGGCGAAGTTAGAAACCTTGCCACCTCTATCCTCCGAACGTTGCATCTTCAAGGTCTCCCCGACACTTCGAAAAAATAATGAAGAAGCCTACACTCCTTTAACAGTCTCAATCGGTCCACTTCACCGTGGCAAAGAAGGGTTACTAGCCATGGAAAAACATAAACAAAGGTACCTACACAACTTTCTTGGACGAACACAAAAGAGGTTGGTGGATTTTGTTAAACTAATAAGGGGGAGGAGTAAAGAATACGCCAATGCTATGCAGAAACCGTCGAATTTAAAAGTGACGAATTTGTAGAAAGGATTCTTGTTGACGCTGCTTTCATCATTGAAGTCATGTGGAACAATAAGTGCTCTTCTATTGTTGATCTGGAAGATCATATATTCCACAAACCATGGATGATTTTGGACATAAACCGTTATTTAAGGTTATTTGAAAATAAACTTCCCTTTTTTGTTTTAGAGGATCTTTTTGACCTCGCAAACTTCCAGGCATACCAGATCCCGGGTGGGACATCTCAGAGGCCATCTGTGGCTGATTTAATCAACGAATACTTCAAGGAATATTCAGCGATTCTATCAGAACCAGACTATCCACTGGAAATTAGAAACTCTTTACGAGCAAAACATTTGCTTGATTTCCTAAGAAATTGTCTCATACCATCTCAACCTCTTAAGACACCTTATACGAGAGGTAAATATTGCACCATAGGTTGTGCAACAAAGCTCCACGAGGCAGGAGTAACATTTAAGAAGGGAAAAGGCAAGAACTTGTTTGACGTGAAATTTGAAAGCGGTATTTTGGAAATCCCACATATAACAATTCATGCTAAAACAGAATGCATCTTACAAAATCTAATTGCCCTCGAGTGGTGTTATTATGATGTTTGTAACATGAGTGACTATATTGTCTTCTTCGGTGCCCTCATTGACTCTCTGGAGGATGTTGACTTACTTGGTCGCAGTGGAATCATCAATCCTGTGAATGGAGACAACAAAGATGTGTCAAATATGTTCAACAAACTCGGTAAAGACATTGCCATAAACCATGAGGACTACTATTTTGCTGGAATTCATAATCAACTGCTTGAATACTGCAAGATTCCTCGGCACAAATGGAGGGCGACTTTGAAACGAGATTATTTTGGGACTCCATGGGCAACACTATCTATCGCAGTAGCTGCGATTCTGCTCCTGCTCACATTCATACAAACGGTGTGTTCAATCATCTCTAAGCCTTGAGAATTTTTTTAGAGATGGTTACTTATTATAATATCCATAAGAATATATTATGTTTATCGCATCATCCTATTTTATGGGAATATTGTTATTGGCTATGGCTATTGAGGTACTCTTCAACCAAGGTAGCATCCTTTCACCTTTTACTAAACTCGTGGCATAGATTGTGAATATGATGTATGAAGCTTGGGAAAATTAATGATAAGTGAATGCAAGTATGAATGATTTGATAAATGTGGATAACTATTTCATAATTGGGTGCAAATGAATGTTGAGTTATTAATATGAATGACATTTATATGACTAGGCGACTGGATACAAATTAATGTGGTCATGTAAATACCAAACCACTCTCACCTTAGCACCATACCAGCCAAATTAATTCCACATAACAAAATACACACACGCTCGAGTGATAGAGTGTGGGAGTGGGTGGCGGGTTGGGGTTGTGGTTGGGGTGGAAGTTTCAGCCTAGGGTTGGAGATCGGCTATTCGTACATGTGCTCAGCAAGGTGAGGGTTTGGGTGGGGGATTTCAATGATGAGGTTCAGTTGCATGAGGTGAGATGGGGAGGGGATAAAAAAGGGAGAGAAATTATGGAAGTTGAAGATGGAAGACGATCTAAAAGGTTGAAGACAACCTAATATTAAAGAAATTAATGTGTTGGATCCCAAAAGACTTGGTAATCACATATTAGCCCCCTCATCCATCACCATAGTCAATTCCTTTCCTATGTATAGCTACTCCATGTCCTATATATCACCTACATGTATATAGTTATCAAAAGTCTACCTTGCATTTTGAGAACATGTCGTTGTTGTATTGGCTGTTGCTTGACAAATTTTGTTTCATTTTTTTTTTCCTTTTTTACGACATTTTTTGTTTTATCGCCAATAAAAAAACACTAGAGGGACTGACTTTGTTTTAGGCAATAAGCAAGAAACCTTAAGTGCACTTGTAGCCGCTCGAGTGAGTTGACTTGTCTGTGAGGAAGGGACCATTTCTTATATGGAGAGATGTCCCTACGGCTAATTTATCCTAGCTTCATAAAGAAAGGAAAAGGTCAAGGTTTGAATTCCTAACTTTGAGACTACTACTACGTCAAATGACTGAACCTAGACAGACTTTTATTTTCAAACTAAGCCAGGCTGTTTGCATACCATATTAGATCGAAGGAAAGGAGCCTCTGAATGATCCTTATGCCTCCATTAGGAGCTAAAGCGCCGGGTCTCAGTATCAAATGTCTCTCTGAGACACTCTTCCAACAATAAGAGGGAGTCGAATAGAACACTGTTGACTGAGAAAAACAAACAACTTAAGGCCTCTAAAGAATCTTCAAATTTTCTCTCTCTATTTAAAGAATAGACAAAGCACAAAATCATATTCAAAGATGTCATCTTGAGACAACTAAAGTGTCATACGGAACATCTTTTGATGACACCAAGACTCTTTATGAAGGTTCATTTGCTTCCTCTCTTTTGATTTGTTCTCTGAGTAAGTTACCTTATGGACCTAGCTTGACTTTCTTTCCTTGCCTACAAGCCCCTTTAAGTTGTCTATCTAAAAGAAGAAGCATATAGTTGATTGCTCTTTCTTTTAAAGTTTATAAAAGCTAAGGGCAGGTAGGAGACAGCAGTTTGCCACGAAAATGCTGGAAGACTGGTTCAGGTAATCTTTTAGTGAAAATGTCTGCTACTTGATTGTTGCTTCGAACAAGTTGAATTAGCAATTTTCCCGCAACGACGAGGTCACGAACGAAATGACAATAAACTTCTATGTGCTTAGTCCATGCATGAAACACAGGATTGGCAACCAAGTGTGTAGTGCTAGCATTACTACAGTGCACGAAAAATTGATAGCGAAACGGCGCCATGAGATTGCATAGCAAGTAAGAAAGCCAGAACAGTTTAAAAATAGTATGGTCTAGTGCCTTGTACTCTGCTTCAGCACTAGACCTGAAAAAAATCAGTTGCTTTTTGGAAACCCAAGTCAGTAAGTTTTTTTGAATATTAATTTATTTGTTGTGATGCATTATGTTCGTCGTTGTTACCAATTTTTATATTCATTTTTTATTTGCTAGTAATGTTTGATTTGCAACATTTTCTAAGATTTTTTGTGACATTTATTTTGTCGTCACAATTTTTTTTTAGCGACTAGTTTCTGTCACAAAAAATACTTTTGAGACTAGGCTAGCGACAATGATGCAAGACTGTTTTTGCTGCAAAAAAAAAAAAACCTTGGTGATTTGTTTTCGTTTTTTGGCGACAAATATGTTCGTTCGCAAAAAACTATTTTTTTTCCCTGTAGCGGATTTAGAAGTAGGGCCATGCATATTGGAGGGCAACTAATAATTTGATTAAATTGCAACCTAGACTTAAGCTGACTATTGATGCCAATAGATTCAACTTCATCGATATTGTAATTAGTAGACCACTGTATATAGATTAGCTAATAGAAGACGGCAATAAAGCAACTTATGTTAGAATTTGTATAGATGTAGATGCATTGGAACCTCTCTTTGAAGCTTTGGACCTCATCATGCAGGGAGATGGGGAAGATGATGTGCCAGACCTAAGCATATAATTTAGGAACCAAACTGTACTTGAGCAGAAATTCAAACTTAATAACCGAACTTGAATCGAGCTTGTTGTACCAGTGATAGTCCATTTGAGCCGAGCCTAAGCATATCAATGATCTAAATGGTTCAATTAACTTACCTATTTTTTACAAAGATTGTAAAAAATATTTTTAAATATATTATAACCATAAACGCTATATAGTAATAGACAAAATATGTGTTCATATGTTAGTAGTACAAAACAAGTTCATGCACAATAAAAAAATAAGTTTATTCGGATGACTACATTAAAAAAATATGCCTCATCAACCATTAAAGTTAACAACATAAAATATTTAAAAAAAAAAAAACCAAGTATCATACAGTATCCAATAACACAACAACCAAATAACTAAGTACCATAACCTAGTCAAAGACAAGTTTAAAATCCTTAAATTATTACATACCACTCAAAAAAAGTTCATGCATAATAAAATGCCATAGCAAGGCACCAACCCAACACAGTTAAGTAGCATAAATTAGGTCACATCCGACCCCGATAAACATCTGCACCTAGCCAAAGTTGATAACTACCCCAAACGGGCAAACTTAAAAATAGAGCAATGCGACATGGATTTAAAAAGTAGACTTAAAAATTAGACTTGATAATCTCAACCATTAATTTCACTGTAGATCCCAAAATTTATTGAGACCCACTACCTATTCAATAGTTTAAATTATCAAGTTTAATTTTTAAATCCATCTAGCATTACTCTGAAAAATATGTCCACCTTAATAAAATCACAAGCAATTTTGTACACCTCCTCATTGCCGTGTTGCATAGAAAGGCCTTCAATCTTAGGAAATTCAACAAGTTTGTTTCTGTGTGCTATTGCTGCATCTTGCTCATACCCAACCCAATAGACAATACTTGCCAATTGGTTTCCACTGTTCTCCACATAGGCACCAAACACCTTAATCATTTGTCCAAGACTTGTCGTCATTGCATCCATCAAAACATTATCTTTTTTCTTCCTTTGTTTTCGACTTTGAGGAATGACGGTTGCATTGTCCATGCTTTGAGTCACACATTGAGATACCCCTCCATCTTCCATCATCCCAACTGACAATACATCACCAGTCAGGTTACCACCTTCACCTGCATTCTCAGATTCCATCTCCACAAAGCCTGTAGCATACTCACCAGTTGCCCTGTCCTAGCCACATATAATACCCCAATCATCAAAGAACGCTCATGATTTATCCTGTATTCCCTTCGCATTCTTGTCTTTCTACAATTGCATTACATTATGAAGTTTAACAATATAAACACTTTTAAGCAGATTAACAAAAATACAATATAATAAAAAATTACCTTTAGGTACTCAACCCAAATGTCTTCACTTTTAGCTAGACCTAATGGGCTTAAACTGATCTAATAGAAAACTAACCTTGACTCACGGAATCTATAACAATGATTCTTGATGCAAAAATCTCCACGAGAAGAATACCAAGAATACTGAATATAATCACGAACTTGATTCGCAGTAGATTGCAGATAGATTTTTCCTAAGAGTGAGAGATATTGTTGATGATGCACAAAATTGATTTTCACACCACCTGTCAATCAAGTAGTATAAAATGCAGTAAGATAAGTAGAGGTAAAGAGAATATAAGGTTTATAGTGGTTCGGTCAACGTAACTTACGTCCACTTTGAATAGCAAGGGTCGCCGATATTTTATTTTCTCCGGTGTGAAAGGAGATCAGAATATTACAAGTTTTGAGAGAAGATGAGAGAATTATGCTCTAATGAGTCTCATGCCCCCCAACTGTTGGTGGGGCTTACATTTTATAGTTACCTCTTAATAGATATTAAAATAGGTAATCAAGCAATCATAACAGGTTGTGACAATTTAATGGTCATAACGGATTGGAGTGATTTAACAATGATTAAATAGTTTGGTGACCCATCCTCTTCTCAACGGGGGAGAAAGTTGTTACAATATTCTCCATGAAACTCGGTTAAAGGATGAGGTGAGGGTTAACTTCTTCCAAAACAGCTTGGATAAGGCTTTTGGGATGACCCATACTCTAAGGTGGCTAGAATGAGCCTCCTTACTTCAAGGTGGCTAGGATGAGCCTCCTTATTCTAAGGTGGCTAGAATGAGCCTCCTTACTCCCTTGGCGAGCTTGACCGAGTTGACCACATTGGGCTGGATTTATTGAATCTCTTGGAGTTAGGCTAAAACTTGGACCGGGCTTATAACATGGGTTAGGCCCTTGGGCTTGGCCCATCATTTGCCCTCTAATGCCCTAAATCTAACTGAATTTTATAAAGAAGGGCATTCAGTTTGAGTTTGAATTTTTAGTTGACCAGCCCAAATGAAAAAACTTCGAGAGGTCAAAATATCTGTTTCTAGGCTTTTTTTTGAACTTTTTACAACATCAATTACAGCCAAAGGCTCTGTATCTTGTAAATCTCATCGAGAGCTTCAATTTGATATATAATAAGCCTTGTTTCGAGTAACGGAGCAAAAGTTACGGTCAAAACTTCGAGCAGAAAGCTCGGTGACCGATTTGGGCGAGCAGGCACCTTCTGGGCAAGCAGGGCACTATTCTGGGCGAGCAAAAAAAAAATTTTTTTTTTTTTTTTTAAAATTTGGGGAGGCCAAAACACTTTTTTTTGGACCTTTTTTGGAATTTTTTTGAAAACCTTATTACTTTAGTAATAAGTTTTGCTTAGCTCGTCGAGAGTTTCGATTTTTATATATAATAGGCCCCGTTTGAAGTTATAGCCCATTTTAAGTTTAAATTTTTTGAAAATTCCTTTTGATCGACGACCCTATTCCTTCTAGTAGACTCCTTTTATTTGTAGGACTCCATTGACTATATAAACTCCTTCTTTCAATTTCTTTTTGGATTTTTGAAGAAATCGTTGCTATCCCCGGAGAAGAAGAGCAGTGAGCTAAGAGGAGTGGTTTTGGAGGAACGACCTGCTGTGCACGCGTCTGGAGTGTGTGAGGAGGAGGCATTGGGCGCCCAAGCAATGGCGACCCCAACCTTGGCGAGCAAGTCAGGCGAGAGAGGGAGGCGCGCAGGTGTATGGGCCTGCCTCGGGCGCCGCTAGTATTCAAGCTAAGCGCGCTGGGGCACGCGCTGTGGAGAGGCAAGCAGGCCAAGTGAGCGGGGCTGCTGTGACGACGATCCATGTTTGGAGAGCAGGCTGTGCGCCTTGGCAGTCTTGGGCAAGCAGGATGGGTGCCTTGGTGGTCTTGTCAAATGGGAGCTCATGGAAGGCCCTCACGTAAGAGCTGGGTGCTGAGGATGCCAAGACCGAGATGGCGACCCATGCCGCATGAACTAAGATGAGGGGCACCGAAGTGGGGGTGCCATTGGCATAGGGCGCTGACTGTAAGGCGTTATGGTGTCAGATGAGATGCCTCGTGCATTGGGTGCTGATGAAGAGGCGCCCATGGAGTTGGACACCGTTGTAGAGGCCCTTATGGTGATGGGCGCCGCTGGAGAGGAGCCCATGGTACTTGGCGCCGTTGGTTGGCAATTTTGTTGATCACGATGGAGGCGTGATGTTTGGAGGCAAACGCAAGTAGAGGTTGTTTACGCTAGGTGTTCAGCGCAGGGTGCTATGACAACGAGGCAGCAGTGCCAGATAGACACAAAAGAATGAGGCCTGATTGTTGACATTCAATTTAATGTAGTCCCTCGGATTGCAGACGATCTGAGTTTCAAGAGCCTGGCTAAAGATGGCAAAAGTAATGTTATTTCAAATATTAAAATATCTAACATATTTACCTAGATAAAGAGTTAGGCTCCTTACACAAGAGCAAAGACAGAGTTTGAGGATTGCTCGTGAGAGAGCTACACTTTTTGAGACCGAACTTTTGGTGACCCATGAGAAAGTTCTTAAGCTTGAGGTATAAGCTGCTTGCTTGAGAGTAAAGCAGATGCCAAGCTTTTGGCGACCTGCAAGAGAGCCTCTCAGCTAGAGATAGTCTGTCTGCTTGAAAGCAGAGCAGAGGCAAAGTTTTTAGTAACCCGCGGAGAGCTGCTCAGCTGGAGATAGGCTGCTTGCTTGAGAGCAGGGCAGAGGCCAAGATTTTGGCAACCCGAGGGAGAGCCACTCAGTTGGAAATAGGTTGCCTACTTGAGAGCAGGGGTAGAGGCCAATCTTTTGGCGACCCGCGGGAGAACCATTAAACTGGAGATAAGCTGCCTATTTGAGAATAGTGCAGAGGCCAAACTTTTTGGCGACCCGTGAGAAAGCCGCTAAGCTTGAGATAGGCTGTCTGCTTCAAAGCAGGGCAAAGGCCAAGTTTTTGTCAACCCATGAGAGAGCCGCTAAGCTGGAGATAGGTTGCCTATTTGGGAACAGTGCAAAGGCAGGTCAAGCTTTTGGCGATCCGCGAGATGATTCACCTCGCCTACACCTATTGATTTCCTCAGTATTCATATATTTTTGAGTTTTTGTCAATAGTTCTGGCATGCTCTTTAGTGATCTTTTATTATTGAAAAAAGGAAACTCGATGAACGGAGACCTCGTAGAAAGGCGGTCATGGTGACTTTGTCATTGGGCTCCTCGATTTGGAGGACCTCCTCGTTAAAACAAGTGAGGTAACTCTTTAGACTCTCATCTCGATCCTGTTTTATGTTGAGCAGATGAGTGGCAGGCTTCTGCTGGCGGCGTCCACAAATGAACTATGTCACAAAGGACCTACTCAGTTCGGCGAAAGAGCCTATAGAAGCTGGAGTGAGTTTGGCGAACCATTGTCTCCCTGATCCCTTCAAGGTAGTTGGGAATGCCCTACACATAATTTCGTCAAGGATGTTATGCAGCTGCATTAAGGTCTTAAAAGTTTCGAGGTGGTCTAGTGGATCCTTTGTACAGTCAAAGGTTTCAACGGATGGCATCTTGAATTTTTGAGGGAGTGGGTCGTTCGCAACGTCAAGTTTGAAAGGTGTGTCAGTTCAACTTACGAGAAAATCCACTGTCTCGGGTACTTGTGCCTTCATAGTGTTGAAGATGTCTCCCAATTGATTTTGCACCTCCTTAATTTTTTTTTCCAGTGATTAGGAGGAGGTCCTCTGGAATTATTATGGATATGGCTCTCATGCTTCATATTTTGATTTTCACCCTCGTCTTCTTGGAAAAGAGAGTCTTCACCATGAGGAGCAGGAGCAGGAATAAGGGCTGGAGGAAGAGGTCCCTCATGGTGGGCTACTCTGTGTGGGGCACCCAGGGGGGCGCCTAGATGATGGGGAGCTCCTTGATGGACAGGGCGTGGAGCTCCTCTAACTTGAGGTCTAGGTTGTGCTCCTCCTTGTTGTCCGAGCATCAATTACAGAATCTGTTGGTTCTAGGCTATAAGTTATTGCATGGTCTCCAGCATCTGCTGCGCATTTGAGACTAGATTGGGCGGAGGAGCAACCTCTTCCTCTCGTAGTAGAATGTCTTCAAGCTGATTTATGGATCTGGTGGTGCTAGCCTTTGATTCAGCAAAGAAAATGTTTAGGTGAGAACTTTGTCGTTACCACAAACGGCGTCAAACTGATGATGCACAAATTATTTTTCACACCACCTGTCAATTAAGTAGTATAAAATGCAGTAAAATAAGTAGAGGGAAAGAGAAGATAAGGTTTATAGTGGTTCGGTCAACGTAACTTACGTCCACTTTGAATAGCAAGGGTCGCCGGTATTTTATTATCTCCGGTGTGGAAGGAGATCAAAATATTACAAGCTTTGAGAGAAGATGAGAAAATTATGCTCTAATGTGTCTCATGCCCCCTAAGTGTTGGTGAGGCTTACATTTTATAGTCACCTCTTAATGGTTATTAAAATAGGTAATCAAGCAGTTATAACGGGTTGGAGTCATTTAATGGTCATAACGGATTGGAGTGATTTAACAATGATTAAATAGTTTGGCAACCCCTCCTCTTCTCAACGGGCGAGAAAGCTGTTACAATATTCTCCATGGGACTCAATTAAAGGATGAGGTGAGGGTTAACTTCTTCCAGGACGGCTTGGATGAGGCTTTTGGGATGACCCTTACTCTAAGGTGGCTAAAATGAGCCTCCTTACTTTAAGGTGGCTAGGATGAGCCTCCTTACTCCAAGGTGGCTATGATGAACCTCCTTACTCCAAGGTGGCTAGGATGAGCCTCC